TACAGAGCTTTGGCCCTAGAGCCTAATTCGTAGCTTCTGAGGCTGGTAGTGAAGGGGATTCTGCCTCACATGTGCTGTGGAATCTGTCCCAGAAGAGAACTTTACAATGAAACAGGAAGGACTGTTTAATTAATAGTGGTCATTTGTGTTCAAAATGTTTATACATCAGACTTGTTTCTGAGGAGCTGCATGAAAATCGTGTCTCTCCTACCTGACGAGCTTTTGAGGAGAGACATGATAATTCTTCATAGCTGAACTACACGGTTTCTAGCAGAAGCTGTGTATGTTGGTTGGTTGACTGAATCTAGAAGCTATGAGGTGGAAGAAAGCAAGTAGTAAGATGAGAGGGGATGAGTGCCGCGTGATGTCACTACAGTTAGCATCTCGTGTCACATAAAGAGGGACAGTGTCTTTCTTTGTAATTCTTAACATTTTATCCTTGGTCCAGAGACAGCTTTTAAGATGCGGCTGTTACCATATCATGTCATTATGCAGAGTGTGCATGAATTCTGAACACGGGTCTAGAAGACATGCTCAGTTATACAGATGAGTAGAGGGGCATTGTGCCTTTGGAGAATATAATGAAGCGGGGCCAGGGATATAGCTCAACGGTACACGCGCCTGCCTGGCAAGCGCAAAGTCCTGAATTTGATTCCTCATACCTCCCGCCCCCAAAAACTGAGAATATAATGAAGAGAAGGCATGTTTTGAGAATAAGTTTGAATCTACATTAAAACATACAATCACTTTAGCTAAATAATTTGAAAGATACTCTTTGACTTAAAAAGAGGCTCATCAGTGGATGAATGGGTACATATATACACACAATGGAATTTTATTCAGCCATCAAAAATGAATTCATGTTATTTGTAAGGGAATGGAAGGATCTTGAGGTCATAATGTTAAGTGAAATAAGTAAGACACCAAAAATCAAATACGGAATGATTTCTTGTCTGTGAGAAACCGAAAATATAAATAAAAGAATAAAGTAAAGGCAGACTTTTTGGAGAAGGAAGAGATCAGGGGAAGGTAATTGAAAATGGTCAAAATGTGTTTTATATGCATGGACCAGTCCTCCAAACAAATGTAAACATCATGTATTGCAAACATATACCCATAAGAAAGAAAGAAGTATGTGGTTTAAGACCCCATAAGGGGCATAGCATTTGCATGAGCCTATGCACATCTTGCTATATACTTTGAATCATCTCTAGATTACTTATATCCAATAAACGTAAGTAGTTATATTGTTTAGAAAATAAGGCTAAGAAAACAGTCTATACACATAGACTACAGTCACCGTTTTTTCCCAAATAGTCTCCATCTGTGATTGGTTGAATCCAAAACTTAAGACCAACTGTAACAGATGTGGATGCCCAGGGACCCTGCCCTGACCTAAGCCCACGATTCTCCACTATGGCATACATTAGAATTACCTGGGGCACTTAAGAATTACTGATACCTGGGCTGAACATCTGGCTAATTATATCAGACTCTCTTGGAGTGGTGCCCAGGAATCAGTACTTTAAAAACTTGTGGTAGTTTGGATACTCCATCAAGTTTGGGAACCACTTCTTTAAGAAAATTTGAGATTGCAAATTATATGTTCACTTTTAAATTATGTAGTTAGCCTGGCAGAAACTTAAAATACACAGCTGTCTTTAAATACGTTTCTTATCATCACTGCCCTTTCTGTTTTTCATTTCCCACAGGTCTATACTGTGTTAAACCTCGACACTGCTTTTACGTGTTGGGTTCTTTTCTGGTTTTCCCAGCAGCAGCACTTTTCCACACGTGGCTTTTTGTCCCTCCATGTTAGTTTCTGGTTGAAATTCCTTTTTACATGCCCTGTCACTGTCTAGCTTGTTCCTGTTGGCTTGTAGCTTTGAGTTTCATTCATAACTTTTCCCCTAGCCTGTGTATTTGTAGTTGGGTGCATGAAATAGTCTCTCAGTGCCATATCTTAGTGTTGTAAAATGTTCCCTTATGTGATTGAATCTCACTCATTTTGCCCTCTTTTGGGGGAACAGTTTGAAGATCTGTGACCAGGTTTCTTTCTGTTGGAAAATCAATTTCCTCTTCCTTCCTTTCCCTTCCTCCTTCTTTTTCTTTCTTTTCTTTTCTTTTCTTTTCTTCTTTTTCTTTTTCTTCTCTTCTCTTCTCTTCTCTTTTCTTTTCTTTTTTTTCTTTTTTCTTTCTTTCTTTCTTTCTTTCTTTCTTTTTCTTTCTTTCTTTCTTTCTTTCTTTCTTTCTCTTTCTGTCTGTCTCTTTCTCTTTATTTTCTTCCTCCCTTCTTCCTTTTCTTTTCTTCCTGTACTAACGATAAAACCCAGGGCCTTGAGTATGCTAGACAAGAACTGTACCCCTTACTTGTCCTTACTTAAGGTCTACAAGTACCTAAGTCCTACTGCATAGTTTAACTCAAACATACTGCACAGTCTTGGAGGAACATTCCGGTTGATAGCCATCCTTTGGGCAGGAAGGGGGAACATGTGCTAATAGCATCCTTTGGTTTGATGTTTCTTTTTAAGCTTTTTGTACCACAAATAATTATTTAGATACAAATATCTTTCATGTGGCAGCATCAAACAAGCCATGCTGTATGTGTCTCTCAGAGACCTAGGTTTTTAGAGGTGGAAGCTTGGGAACTGGAACTTTCAACCACTACTCGCTGGTACAGCCCAGTAAAGGCACTAACCCGTGGGCTGGTAGGGCTCACTTAGGATGCCTAACCCCCGTGCATGGTCCCCACTTAGCTCCAAGCTCAGAATGAAGTTTGCTGTGGGTGGGTGAGGGCTGTTCTCCAGGGCACTGCAATTTCAAGTGGCTTCACAGTTTCCATTGGCTTACTCTCAGTTGTACTCCCATAAGAATTGAAGAACCAATGTTTTGAGCCACGGTTTCCTCTAGTTTTCATTTCTCAGACAGTTCACTCTCCCTGTCCACCTCTTTCTCACCCAGGCTTTTGTATCTGGCTGGCTGAGTCAGATGAATACGAACTGTTTCCTTGGTTCTTTTCTTTCTTTTGTCCTCTATGTCTGTCAACATGTCCAGTAGCTGCTCCTCCACAATAACACTGCAAATGCCTCTATTGCTCTTCATCTCAGTGAACGATGCAACAAACGTAGTTGGAGTGTGTGTCCCTCCCCTGCAGTCCTGCAGCAGCCTTCTAATGTTTCTCTACCTCCTTTTGAACCCCTCTCTCCAGTGTCTGTCTCTTGCCTCAAGCATTTCGCTAAGTTTTTGCATTGAGAATAAAAAGCAGACTCCCTGTCATGGCCAGTGTGTCCTGGCTCTTGTCTCTCATAATCTCATCTCTTGATACTCTCCAGTCAGTCCAGCTGTTATTTGCCCCGGCAGTGGCCTGTGAATGCTTATTTACTTTTCCCAAGAAGCTCTTCTAATTTGATGCCTGGAAATTACTCCCCAAACTTAATAGCATAATGATATCATAATCATGACACTTTCTGCCACTTACTGAGTGTTTTCTGTAAGCCAGACAGTATACTAAGTGCTCTGCAGACATTATCTTACCCTGAAATTAGCTGCAACAAGCTTGTGAAGTTAGCATTGTTCTTCCTATTTTTTTGGAGAGGAGAGGAAATGGACACAGAGAGTGGGAGTAACAGGCTCAGTTCACACTGCTAGTATGTGATAGAGTTGGCTTGAGGACTGTCTGAGTCTAAGTGAGCTCTTTGGTAATGAAGTTTTTAAAAGTATTTTATTATTATTGAATTTCAATGATCTCACAATTCCTGGAGGATACTCTTAGAGCAAGCTCTAGAGGAAATCTCTTACTGAAATTGAAAGTAAACATTAATATAACTTAATTACCTTACTGGAGAAAACAAACAGCTGAATATTTTATGTCTTATTGATAGTAAGAGACGGGATGGTGTGAAAGTTGCAGATACACTCTGGAATCAAATAAACAGGGTCTGATCTCAGCACTTGCTCTTTATTCATACGGATCTCATTATCATGTATGCTAAGCAATATTCTTGGCTCTAGAGTTATGTCGGTGCACAGTCCCATAGGATGATTTAAAACTTTGTTTCTCTCAGCCATTTTTATCTTGCAGACTCACTATAGCATTAGTACTCTTTATCGAATTCAGCAGAAGTATTAACTCTCTTGGACCCAGTCTAAGTGGATCTGTTTGAGCAGGTCTTGTGACCTGTCTCATGAGGACAGTCTTACAGGAGTGCACCAGTGAAGTTTTCTTCCTTCCTTCTTCCCCTTTTCCCATTTCTTCCAATCAAAACAAAACAGTAAATTTAACTTTGTTAGATACAATAAACCCAGGGACTTTATATTCTAATAGGGGTAGTGTAATAAGCATAATAAATAAATAAATAATATTATATGTTAGAAGATGGAAAGAAATTTGTGGAGATGGGTAATAAGATCAGGATAGAAGAAAACAGATATTTTGTATCTGCATTTGTTGTAATAACCAACATTAAGTGAACACTTACCACGTGCTATTCAATGTGTCCTTTCATGTTTATTTGTTTCTCAATCCAGCCCTATAAGGTTTGCCCTGCTAACGATCTTATTTCACAGATGAATGAAGTAAGACATGGAGAAGTTTAATAACTTGTCTCACTCACCCAGCTGTCTGTGGTGTTCCTAGGAGTACCAGGTTTCTGGCTGTGGGGCCCGTTTGTGCTCATAATCAGCATGTTACACTGCCCCTGTGCTGTGCTTACTCTGTACGAAAGTGTGCACATCACACTGTATTGCAGATGTGAGGGGGAGTGCGTGTGTCTTTCATGCTATTTGTGAGTTCTTTGAAGGCAGAAAATCATGTCAAATTCATTTTTGCTTGCTGGGCTTTGTACGTGTGCTCCTTAGACTGCATTATAATGAGATCAAAATATTCTCTCCTATAATCTTTAAAACAAAAGAAATACTATTCAAAATATTAGCGCTGTGTGTCATTGATTCTGGTTCAGCTGTCATTTTAATCATGTCATTGTGTTTTTTCTTCTCCCCAGACCAGTGTTAAAGAAGGACAACTACTGAAGCAAACAAGTTCTTTCCAAAGGTGGAAAAGGCGATACTTTAAACTTCGAGGCCGAACACTTTATTATGCAAAGGACTCAAAGGTAATTCAAAAGAATATTAGTTTTAAGTGCTTGAGATTGTGATGGTTTATCAATTGTGGTTGGATCGAATCTCACCGTATCATTAATGGTATCATTAATGCTCTTAAGTGGATTCCATATAATTCTGATCTGTCCTGGACCCCACCCCAAGAGTGTTTTTTCAAGTCAGTCCCATAACAGGTCTCTTAAGAATAAACTTACAGGAAGATTGTACTACAGTTTTTTCCTGCTCAACTAAAGTAAAATATCAAATAGAATCTTATTAAATATACAAACTCAGATTTTGAGATCTCTGCTACCTTTCATCTTAACTTTTTCCCTGACGGGGTGTGTGTATGTGTGTGTGAAAGAGAGAGACAGAGAGGGAGGGAGAGAGAAAGAGAAATAATTGCTAAGAACACATGCTCAGAATCTAGGTAAGGGTTTCTGTCCTAATTTCAGCAAACTGCACTGAGTGGCAGTGGCTAGCAAGTGTTGTTGAGAGGAAGCTTGAAGGTGATAATGTACGTCTCATACTTAGGTAGTGTCTGGAATAACACAATCACTGTAGTGTGCTGGCAATTAAGAATAAACATCAAGGGCTGGGGATATGGCTCAGCGCACAAGCTCCTGCCTGGCAAGCGCAAGGTCCTCAGTTCCATTCCCAGTACCAAAAAAAAAAGAGTAAACATCATATTGACATCAAAATCAACACTTAAGGATAATTTTAATTTTTATATGACATTTCAATAAAATTACAGTGTGCTTTTCAGAGAAAAATTTATAAAACTGATATTGTAACTGATATTTAGAACTGATATTTTAGTATTCAAAAATAAATATTAAGATTTCTTGCTACTATGCCTGTAGAATAATTAATCATTGCATTTTTTAAAATTTATGTTCCTGATATAATTAGTAGTCATAAACAAGGAAATAATTCTTAGTTTATGCGGCTATGATAGAACTTTATGTAGGTATCATAAGCCAATAAAATATTCTTAGTTGAGGTCAGGATGGTCAAGGTCATCCTTGGTCTGTCTCCATCCTGTCTTTCGAGTTTATCTGTAGAAGGGTTGAGTGCTCGACAGCCGTTGTCTTTGTTCCACGTTTCCCATATGCAGAATGACTGTCTCTGTGTCTCTATTTGTCTATTTGATGAAACCCCATTTTCTTTACATTCTGCTTCTATTACATCTAATTCTATCACTCATAAGAGAAGGAATTGACTTTTACTGGCAAAATCCTCAGTGATCCTCTCTAGCATTTCATTGTGTTTTTTCTCTTCTACTTTTAATAGTCTGCCCTCTGTTACGTTTGGTTTTGTCTGTTTTATCTCCTGTGGTAGACTGTAAATTCATTCCAGTTAGGGGACAGGTGCCTGATTGGTTGATTTCACTAGTGTAACTAGTGTAGACTAGTGTAACCCTCTGAAGATGTGGGGCAGGAAGTGAGGTATGTGCTCCCTATCAGAAAAAGGGGACCCTGTTTTCTGCAGTCCAGGAGGAGCTGTGTTGTGCCAGCCTTACTGGCATAACACTGAAGATCACTGAATGAGACTAAACAGTGACGAACTCTCTAAAAGTGGAAAGGGTACATTTATTTGTAAGAATTTCCTAATTGCTAACTTGTTTTTTTTTTTTAATAAGTTCAATTCTATGGAGCTTTTACCACTAACACATTTGATTGAAAACAGGATTTAAGAGTATAAAAAGATTATCTTCTATTTGTATAGCACATTCATAATCTCATCTGAATACCTGGTTATAGGTGAGGAAAGTAAGATTCAGAGTATTTGGAACCTGACCATGCTCTGAGCACGGGCTGGTTCTTGGTCCCCACTTAGCCAGCCCAGGGGCAGTGACGTAGCCTCTGTTTCTTGGCAAGGTTGTTACAAACTTGTGTGTGCCTGTGCTCTTGTACACAGGCTACTGTCATTAGATTCCATACACGTGATACCTGTTGTGCTTTCAGAGAGCACACAGCACTGCTTCCAAACAGTGCTTTGGGGGTTCTTTAAAATCCTTTTCAGTCTGGGATTCATGAATTGTACTCTGTGGGTTTACTTATCCATTCTAAACAGAAATTGCAAAAGACAACTACCTCAACTTTTTCTTTGTTTTCTATTTCTGATACTTGATGTAGCTTTCATGGTTATGACCTGATAGCAAAAATGGACTGAAGTGCATAGGTCCACATATTCATCTAATGTGTTTGTGTTTTTTTCATTAACAGTCTTTGATATTTGATGAAGTTGACCTCTCAGATGCCAGTGTAGCTGAAGCAAGCACAAAAAATGCCAACAACAGCTTCACGGTATGGTTACATTCTGTTAAATCCCTTTTCGAGGTTTCAGAATGGCTTTTCCTGAGCATGTTTGATGCCTTGTCCGATTATCAACTGTGTGTCAATTTATGCACATGGAGTTCTTACCAACAGAGCATACTCTGTTAACTCTATCATGTACTGTCATACCCAGTACCACTCATGGTCTATTGAGCCAATAAATTTAGGCTCAAGTGAATTTTTTTAAACATATCTTTTCCAGGGGCTGGGGATTTAGCTCAGCGGCACAGCGCCTGCCTGGCAAGTGTGAGGTCGTGAGTTCGATTCCTGGTACCAGAAAAAAAACAAAAACAAATAAACATATCTTTTCCTTTTTGGACTTTTTAATTTTAGTGCTTTAAAAGTTTTTACTTTCTAGGCCAGGCGTGGTGGTGCATGCCTGTAATCCCAGTGCTCAGGGGGCTCAGGCAGAAGGATTGCTATGAATTCAAGGCCAGCCTTGAATACCTAGTGAGTTCAAGGCCAGCTTGAACTACACAGCAAGACCCTGTCTCCAAAAAAAAATTCACTTTTCTTAAATACTTCAGTTAACTGAATTATTTTTGAATACTCAAAAATTTTATCATTTATGAACAACCTCAAAAATACTTTTTCATTCTCTTCTCTTTTTCTTCCAGTAGCTGTTGGTCAGGCAGTTGATATAGTTCAGGCCTTCATTTCTTCTCATGTAGCTGATTCATTTGAGAGCTACTTAAAAAGTGTCCTCTGTTTCAGTTTCTTCTGTCTAATTAGATTGCATTGTTTAAAACACCTAGCTTGAGCTCAGCCTGGTAGCATATGCCTGTAATTCCAGCTCTCTGGGAGGATCAAAATTTGAGCCCAGCCTGGGCAACTTAGTGGCTTAGTGAGATGCTGTTTCAAAAAAGAGAGGGAGAGGAGGAGGATGGAGGGTGGTAGGGGGACGGAAAGAAAGAGAGAAGGAGGGAGGAGAAAGAAAGAGAAGAAAAGGGTTCATGAGGAATATAGCTCAGTGCTAAGGTGCTGGGCCCAATTCCCAGTACAGAAAAAAAAGTCCTAGTCTGTTCCCACTGAATTCAGCCATAAAGTCTTACAGGATCATGCTTCAGCATGCTAGTGTTACTGTAATTCCCTGTTTGTCTTTGCACACCCCACCTGTTTCACTCTTCTGTCTGCCTGCAAAGCTTTGCTGTTCTCTCTGACATGAATGAGTTCTCCCAGATCTGTAGCTAATGAAATCTCACCAGTTCTTCAGAATTTATTACAGATAGTCTCCTCTTCTACTTTGTTCATTCACAAAATGTGAACTGAGTTCCTGCTAAGCACTTGTGCTAAGCATAGAAATTCAGAGACATATGTGTGTAGTATTTACAGATAGATATAAAATTCACCTCCAGATTGCAACGAGGTAGTGCAGTGAAGCTCAGGCAAGATACCTTATATCGCTGCGTATCTCTCAGCTGCTGTAAGATTCACCGCTTTTGTTATGCGTCTTTGAGGAGATGGTTGCTTTTGCATGCCCATCTACACTCCCAGGCTCACTGCAGGAAGCTGCCGCTACTGACACAAACAAGCATGGCCATTTCCTGGGCCTGCCAGCCAGAGCAGGGAGACAGTGGCGCAGTGCACCCAGGGAGTGCCTGCTTGAGGTGAGCACTGGGAGAGGAGGCAGGGGCACGAAGCAAGTGAATTCAGAGTTAATCTTAGTGATTTATGGGCATGTGGGGTAATTCATACTGTAAATATTCCTCTCCCTCTTCCCCAGGGAGAATTTACTTGGAGAAGAGGAAGGCCAAGAATAGAATCCTGGGAAAATGTTAAATGTAAGGTTTGACCAGTACAGGCTGAGTGAGATCATTCTTGAATAAAGGAGAATCATGAGGCAGTGATGACATGAAAACCCAGTAGGGGGAGAGTTTCAAGGTGGAAATGGTTGAACATTACTAGAGAAGTCAAGTCAAAGAAGAACTGGAACTGTGGTGGTTGATGCTGTGAACTTGGGACTCCTTGGCCACACTGCTGCGCATAGTGATGGGGTGGGGTAGCAACTGCACAGGGAATGCGAAGTGAAGACAGACAGAACTAGCTTTTCTGCAAAGCCTGGTTATTAGAAAAGAGAACAGATACAGCAGAAGAATGTTCTGGTGGTTTGTTATTGTTCATTTGTTTCATTTAAAAAATGGGTTTTGAGTGTGAAGAGAGGAAGGAACTGCTAGAACAGGAGTTCAAGATTCAGGAGAGAGAGAATGATCAATGGAACATGATTGATGCATAATTAGCCAGGCGCTGGTGCACACTTGCTGTCCCAGCACTCGGGGAGGCTGAGGCAGGAAGATCTGAAGTTCAGCCCAGTCTGGGCAATTTAGCAAGTTAATGAACTATGTCTCAAAATAAAAAAGGGCTGGGGCTCAAGGTTCAATCCTCAGTAGAGCTCCCCCACCCCCCACTCCCCCCCAAAAAAATCGCTGAATAAACAGAAGGGTGTAGGGGGAATTGATATATGTCAAACCCCTGTACTGCCATTTTCTCAGTGAGATTGAAGACAAGGTTATCTTTATGAGTGAAAGTTCAGGAAGGTTTAAAGTCGCTTCTGTAGAGAGAGAGTATTGGAAATAAACAGGGACCTATAGAAGATTACTGGGTATAAATATTGCCTACCAAAGATTGGACAGCACTTTTAATAATGCCCTCAGTGTCTGTGTTTACAGAATATTCTTTAAATGTGAATGGGGAACAAATGAACCGATCCAGAATTGACGACTTATAGCACATTTTGGACAAAAAGCTGCTCATCTCTTGATTTGGACTGATGGATATTTGAGGGATCAACTCATTTATCTTCCCTTTCGCCAGTCCCAGCTTTTGAGAATAAAACCCAAGGAGTCAGAGAGAGCTGAGCAGGATCCAGTAGCCACTGAGCACAGGGCTCTGATAAGATACTGGAGGTCGAAGGTCAATGCTGCTTGGTCTCCCTTCCTCCTGAGTGAAGGTGGGGCGGAACGGAGTTGGAGGAGCCCGTCAGTCACACGGACTGGAGTAGCCGCTTGCCTTCCCCTGGGAGGTAGAGACTTCTGTGGAGACTGATGGAGGAGAGTACACGTTCTCCTTAATCAAGAACTAGAGTTGATGTGAAAAAATCTCTCCATAAGTTAAGATTTGAAGGATGGAGTAATGTCAGTTGAAGGTGAGCTCGAGGTTTGGAGCAGAAGGAGGCCAAAGAAACTGGAGAGCCTGAGCCTGGGGAGGTTTCAGTCCTTTCTGCTGCTCTTCCTTGCCCTCCAAAGTACTCTGTCCTGTTTTGTCTTTCTGATAGGATTTACCTTACTCTGCCCTGTCCCTGCTAAGTGTGTTTTTATCATAACTTCTTTGAGGCTAGGGAGTCTGTGCTTTTTACCAACAGTACCTTACCTTATCTGTATTTCTTGATTTTAATTAATAAGATGAAAGCTCATTTTAGACATGAGCAGACTGTTGAAATATTTTCAAGAGCTTTCTTTATTCAATCAAACATTATGTCTGAAGTTTGTTGGACTAGAAATGTAAGGATTAAAAAGATAGGCAGATCACTTAAGGGTTTTATAGCAAATGAAATTGTTTGTTTTTATCTTTTTGAGACAGGGTCTCACTATGCAGTTTAGGCTGGCTTTCAACTCACTTTGTAGCCCAGGCTGGCCTCAAACTTGCAGCAGTCCTCCTGCCTCAGCCTCCCGCGTGCTGGGATTACAGGCCTGCGCCACCACGTCCAGCTTCTGCAAATGAAATTGGTATAGCTTTCCAGGGTATAAAGTGGAGCAAAAGATCTGTTTTCAACTGGCAACTGACAATCCTCCCTATCTTTAAAGTTTTAAATATCCTGCCTTCCTAGACTGCAGTGGCTTCTGCTGGCACTGCTATTTCAGTTGCTTCGTGTCGGAGGTCACTGGTGTGCTGTGATGGTGTTGTGGCTGGAGAATCACAGAGTGGCTGAATTGTGCCTCATTACAAACAGCTCTGTTCTTGAAGTCCCTGAGGGTGGTATATTGACAAGGAACAGTATCACAGAGGAAAATCTATAAATAGTAAGTGGAAAATTTGTGCTTTGCCTCAAAACTCAGTGGGCTCCATAGTGAGCGATGCACAGAGCAGGGCGGCAACTGCCCTGACCTGGACACTACTCAGAATCGCTTCTGCACTCACTTGGCCTGAGCCAGTCACCGGGGCTAGGTCCAGCTGGAGATAGGGGACATAGACCCTCAAGACAGTAGTGCCAAGCTTTGTGGGCCCGGTTGAAAATCGGCGTACACTGTGATTACTTTTCCTTTCTTGCACAGCCTTCCTCTCGCACACCTGGAGTTAGTCTTTCTTCTTGGCTGTCTGCGTCCTCTTGGGGATTTTAGTAGTTTTCTATTGCCGTGTGTTGGGGATTTTAGTAGTTTTCTATTGCCGTGTGTTTTAGTTACTTTTCTCTCGTTGCTGAGACAAAATACCCAACGCCCAAAATTAAGGAAGGAAAGGTTTATTTAGCTTACAGTCTGTGGAGGTTTCAGTCCATACTTGGCTGGCTCCGAGGCAGAAGATAGCAAAGCAACAAGAGCAAAGGGGGGAATGGCAGCTGAACAGCAAACAGCCAGAGCAAAAGGGAGGAATGGCAGCAGGCAGCTTCTTTCTCTGCCTTACTTTGTAAACAGGCTACCCCCACCTAAGCGGCGTGTAGCTCTCACATAGTCTTTGCCCTCATCTTCCACAGGCTCTGGATGTATACAAAGTAAGCACCCTGGCTTCCTGCTGAATCACTTAGCCAAACCTCTAGACTCCCCAAGTTGACACAATGTATCAACCATCACACTGTGTAATAAACTGTCACAAATGTAGTGGCTTAAAACAATGCCCATTTTTCTCTCAATGTCTGTTGGTCACATAGCATAGCTAGGATCCTTTCCTCTATATCTTTAAATGTGATAAATTAAAATACACATTTACACACACACACCGCAACTCCCTACCACCATCACCACCACAGTACTGGCAATTAT